ACTCTAAAACATATTATTTAGACAAAACAAAAAAATTTAAGGCAACAGTTTGCATTAATATACTGAAGTTACGACAAAATCTAACAAAATGAGGTTCAGACAACAAACTTTATTATGTTAGCCAAATTTTTTCCTCTTCAATCAGAGGCATTTTTACATAGCAAAAACCTCAAATCTAAAAGTTGAGCACTCAAAAATATTGTTTCAACTAGTTTTTTATTTTAAAATTGAAAACAAATCCAGTGTAATGTTATGCACTTAATTACATTCACATTTTCAAATTTAGAACCTCAAATAAATTAAGCAGCCGAAATTGCTAAATTTTTAGTTTGTTTTCAAATTTACTGTTCATGCTTGTAAGAAGTACATTTAACAACAACATTTTTGTTTTTCAGTAGTTTTTTATTTGTATTAAACCACAGGTTTTCATTGTTTTATAAAACAAAAACATGTACTATTCCATATTATCAGTGTAAAAAATAACAAAAAACATTATTGTGTGGACTTAAAAATACAAAAGAACTCCATTAGTGTGAGTTAGTAACCTCATTTCTTTGGGTTGCTACAAGTTAAATATTGTTTTAAAGCAACTGGCAGATATATTTACCTTTAAATTACCTGCATTTTTAAATTGATGTAATTATCAATATTTTTATGTTTTGAAAACTTAAATTACTAACTTACGTAATTATTCTGGCAACTGAAAAGTTTTAATCTAATCAGCATTTTAGAATTTTTAAGTTACAATAATGTATTAAACTATGTAGTGGTAACAGACCTCTTAAGTTATTTTTTAGAGTGGTGAATGAGAGTGTATGGGTGTTTCCCAGTAAAACGTTGCAGCTGGAAAGGCATCCGCTGCTTAAAACATATGCTGGATAAGTTGGTGGTTGATTCCGCTGTGGCGACCCCAAATTAATAAAGGTAATAAGCTGAAAAGAAAATGAAGTATTTAAGTTGCATTTTAAGCTGAATACTTGAGTATTTATTCATTCATTCATTTTCTTACATTGTTGCCCTGTTCATATAGCAGCAAAGTTGTACATGTGTAGCCTTTAGCTGAGGCCCCAAGTCCAAATGCATTGCACAAATCACAATAACATTGTTTTAAACATTTGAGCATGGTTTCAGCTTACTGTATAAACACACTGCGCTGATCACCTCATTATATTTTTGTTTGGTGGCAGAGAATCCTGGCTTTGTTAATGTCAAATGCAAAGTCACCTCATCTCAACATCCCGCACAGCAATATTAGAGGACTATCAGTCTGTTACCTTCAGCTTTCCCCATTAATACTTTAAACATAGTGAATGTGTAATAGTTCATGGAATGTAATCTGTGCAGCTGAGACTAAGGGAGAATGTTTGAGGAGAAAGATAACATGAGAACGGCTGACTGACATAAACGTGACCTTACAAGAGACTACAAGCTCGGGCAATGACAGACTCAGCCTTTAGTGCAAGTTACTGCACACAAATTATGCATGCAACTAATAAATCAAAGCTCATTTTAAAGTCCAGAACTCTTTCCTGTGCTTTCAGCAACAAACCGATACCGTGCTTGTCCTCTTTTTTTCACTCTTTGCAACGTCTTGTTCACTTGCCAAGTCAGAATGAGTCACGTTATGTGCTGACACACTGACCTGGTTCCTATTCTTCTCTCTTTTCATCAGCGTTTACTCCGAATAACAGGATTGTATTGTATATGCTGCTTTAAAACACTTAATTCTGATTGGTCAATAGCATTCTGCAGTTAATTATTGTCGAATAATGAACATTATTATAAATTCCCTGCACAGCTTCATTCTAGGTGTATTATTTCATAAATATTATCATCAGATTTAGAATATTTCAGGGTTAGGAGCTGTATACAAAGTAGGCTAATTTACACTAAGCATGTTGTTACCAGATTACATGAACTCCTTTATATGTAGTCTGCGAAAACAAACAGATGTTTATTTGTTTTTTTAGGGGTTTTTCACCTTTATTAGATAGGACAGTGTCACGTTATGCAGATCAAATCAGGAACAAAAACGGGATTAGAATCCAAGTGCAGTTTAATTGATGCATAGTGCAGTGAAAGTGACAAAAATCTAAAAATCTCCAAAGTACAAAGTAACAAAATAGCAAACAAACAAACAAACAAAACAAGAAACTAAGACAGATTAAACTCGAACTAGACTATAACAAGATACAAGAACAAGGATCAGGAACACACACCAATAAGACGACAACGACCAACTGACAAACAGAGAATGAATGACTGAATATATAATCCAGGTAATCAACGGAGAACGGAGACAGCTGTGGTTGTAAATCAGTGTAGATGACAGACCGGGTGTGTGCGCGAAAGAATGTATGGAAATGTAGTTCTTAAGCCACTGTAGTTCGCTGGGGGTTGCTGGCAAACTACATTGGCATTTGGTGGACAAACACAGTCATGACAGGACAGTAGAGAGAATTGACAGGAAAGAATGGGGAGCAGAGTGAAGGGAAGAATCGGCATAGGACCGCGAGGCGGAATCGAACTCAGGTCGCCGTAAACACTGGAGTGCATGTGTCGACGCACTAACCATTACATCACTGGCGCCGACCACAGATGTCCATTTAGAGTCGTGTAAAATGGTTAAACAGTGCTCCTTTTTCCCAAAGAGAACTTTGACAAGGGTCACGGAGCCAAGAGTCTTACAGGATAGTTAATGCTGCTCTAAACTGGCAGTTATTCCGTTTCCAAGCCCCCAGGTTAACAAAAGTGTTAATCATTTTTGACAAAAACTAAATATTAAAGATGTCTTTTTAATTGAAATAAACTGAATTTATTTGAAATTAAGCTAAAAATGGCAATTTAATTTCATTAATAAAAATTAATATAAAAGTGACTCGAACATAAACAATGAAGTAACATACAAATAAAATTAGTTTTTTATTATAAAATATCTAAATTATTAAACAAAAATTGAAAATAAAAATAATATAATAATTTATTCTATAAATTATAAAATAATTAATCTCATGAAACGGACGAGGCTTTTATACTTGATGCGTTCGCTGTTGTGATATTCTTTAAAATGAAAGGGGTCGGTCAAAAGAAACCAACCATAGATTAGATGGAAAAATGGAGAAGAATGAAGTTTCCGGAACAACGTCATATCATTATTGTCATTCAAGATTTTTAAGCTAGTTATTTTTATAAATTATTTTAATGACTATAAAGCCTGATTTATACTTCTGCGTCAAGTGACCGGCGTAAACTGTACAGGCGCAGGCAACGCGCGTGGCTGTGCATATATACTTCTGCGCGCTGTCTCTGTTGGTCTGCATTAACACTTCCGAAACGCTAGTTGGCAGTGAGGTGTAAATGTTCCTCTGTGTCGAGTTTCTTCGCTGCTTTTTTGCTTTTCCTGAACACTTCCGGGATGTACAAGTGGCTCAAACTCGCTCATTTTGAGGCAGAAACCGGCGGACGTGCAACAACTTTAACTATGAGGTAAACACAAAACAAAACTTTCCATCCGGAGCTCCTTCACGGGACTCCACACTTGTAAACAATCGCTACATTGGGTTTGCGCCATTCGCGCGGCTCTCGGTCCCGCCCAGACTCGTCAGCGCTACCAAGCCGACCAATCACAGAGCTTGCGCTACACGTTGTTGCGACGTGTAGTTAAATTTTTTGAGAGGTGCACGTCAGCGAAGGCCACGGCGAAGGGCTATGCGTCAGCGCCGTAGCATACGCCGGTGTTTGACACAGAAGTATAAATCAGCCTTAAGGATGGGGTGAAGCAGTGGCACAGTAAGTAGTGCTGTCACCTCACAGCAAGAAGGTCACTGGGTCGCTAGTTCGAGCCTCTGCTCAGTTGGCGTTTCAGTGTGGAGTTTGCATGTTCTCCCTGCGTTCACGTGGGTTTCCTCCTGGTGCTCCCGTTTCCCCCACAGTCCAAAGACATGCGGTACAGGTGAAATTGGGTAGGCTAAATTGTCCGTAGTGTATGAGTGTGTGTGTGTGAATGTGTGTGTGGATGTTTCCCAGAGATGGGTTGCGGCTGGAAGGGCATCCGCTTCAACAACAACTCTTTATATATTTTATTTTGAGAAACATTTATAATATTTTGGAGCAGTAAACATGTCAGGCTAAATGAACTATTGATTTCTGACGTCTTCATTTGTTTCAAAAACAGATTATATTACAATTTAAAATGGCATCTGCTCATCTTTTCTGCTGGATATGCTGTAATAAAATATCTGACACATACCTTAGGAATGGTATTGCAGATAATTTTGCCGGTTTTAAAACCTTGAATTTTACAAACCGAGGTAAACCTTGAAAACGGTTATCGTCCCATGCCTAATTCTGAAGCCAGGCTACACAGCACTTGGAGCCCTCTCACTGTCCCTCTCTTTCTGACAAGGGGAAGAACACGAGTTAGAGTGTCCTCTCGTTCTCAAAGTCCTCTCCCCAGAGAGCAAGCCAAAAAATACGCCTAAATTACTACGTCAATCACCTGTAAGTGCGAACTCGTAAAAACTTTCTAAGGCTTTCATGAATTAGTGATGTACACCCATCTGTTATTGTGAGGATAACTTTGTGACAATGAGCCTTTATCAATTTGACCAAAATGCTGGATTATTATAAGTATGCAATACTCGATGCATAAATGGTCTATTTTTAGCAGCAGACGGCACTCTTGGCTGGTTTTTAACAGCAAAAAACACTCTAGGCTAGTTTTTAACAGCGATGTTGCTCTGGGATAGTTTTTAGGTGGCACTCTATGCTAGTTTTTAACAGCAGATGGTGCTCTAGGCTAGTTATCTGTATAATAATATGCCTGGTGATGAATCATCCAGGAATGTGCAGCATTGGGAAAAGTAAATAAGGTCAATTCTGACTCTGGCTTTATCATCCAATGACAATATTTGCACTACTGCAAGTAAGTGAATTCATAACAGAAACTAACTACAAGATCAACACAAGACAAGTGACAAATATGTACAGCTATTTCTCACCAGTCCCTCACAGGTGCTGATGGCGGCGGTCGCTTGTACGTTGTCATCCGTCACTGTGCCAATAAGATGGCAGGAACCGCTATCAGATGATTGTGGCCACTTCTCTGCTAAACTCCCGTTGCGTTTCTCCACAATAAATTCGTTGGACAGCAGATTGTCATTGGTGGTCAGATTAAGAGTCAGCTCTCGACCTCTGTAGTTGAGTTTGTAATACACTCGCCTCTCTGCTGAATTCAGGTCTCTCTTCTGACGCCGCCTGGTGAAGTGATGTGATAAAGCATAAGAGATGAACTTCCCTTCTCCATTTACTTTTTCAGGATGATCCACATAAAACTCAGAGTGCTGCTTGACGAAGTGCTCTAGAAATGAAAACGAGACAGTTCTTTATTAGATTTCTATTAGATATTTTCACTTAAATCCATTTTATTGTTTCTATATATTTAATAAATGCAAAATGTTATATATATTTATTTTTAAATGTAACTTTTCAAAATATGCTTATTTATATATATATAAATATATACATACACACTCTCATTGGCCACTTAATTAGGTACACCTGTCCAACTGCTCGTAAATGCAAATTTCTAATCAGCCAATCACACGGCAGCAGCACAATGTATTAAGGCATGTAGACATAGGTTGTTTCTCAATATGCGTTCTTGAGCAATCTTGCATTCTTGTGTTCTCATGTAACGTCATCATCAACTGCCAAAGTTCAGTTCCAAAACTCAAATTCCTGGATGTGTTCTTGATATCAAGGACGCACCGATGCAGATTTAGGAAACGAACTTACTCGAGAAGTCCCAGAAGTCATTGTGGCTGAATAAAGGAGGTGGGAAGCACAACATTTTATACCCGTTTATTATTAAAGTTCAGAGATTTAACGTATTTATTTCAAACGTTTTCCTAAACGAGAAAACATTCACAATGAAAATCTTAATGAAAACATGAACTCATTGAGGGAGTTTTTTTTTTTGCTAAAATTTGTATTAAAATTTAACATTTATTTGTATTGTACAACGTATGTTTGTAAGATCTTTATGCATTGTATATATGGCGAAAAGGGGGAAAAACAATAAATCGTTGTTTGAATGCTATAATGTTTAAATATAGTTTCTACTAAAAACATGTGAAGATCATGTTACCATCTGGGAGACCCAGGGAAGAACGCAGAATCTCATTTCTCACAAGACACATTCTCGTAGTTTCCGAGTTTGTTCTTCCGAGGTAACTTGGCAAGAACGGGTCTCCACAAGAATGCAAATCCGTTCTCTACGTTTTTGGAATTGAGAAACAGCCCCGACAAGACAATCTGCTGCAGTTCAAAACGAGCATTAAAATGGTGAACTTAGAACGTGGCATGATTGTTGGTGCCAAAAGGACTGGTCTGAGTATTTCAGAAACGGCTGATCTACTAAAGGCAACAGTAAGTCAAATAGCCACTCGTTACAACCAAGGTCTGCAGAAGAACATCTCTGAACACACAACATGTCCGACCTTGAGGCGGCAGCAGAAGAAGACCACACCGGTTGCCACTCCTGTCAGCTAAGAACAGGAAACTGAGGCTACAATTCACACAGTCTCTCCAAAACTGGACAATGGAAGATTGTAAAAGCATTGCCTGGTCTGATGAGTCTCCATTTCTGCTGCGACATTCGGATGGTCGGCTCAGATTTAGGCATCAACAACATGAAAGCATGGATCCATCCTGCCTTGTATCAACAGTTCAGGCTGATGGTGGTGGTGTAATGGTGTGGGGGATATTTTCTTGCCACGCTTTGGGTACATTAGTACCAGTTGAGCATCTTGTCAACACCACAGCCTACCTGAGTATTGTTGCTAACCATGTCCATCTCTTTATGACCACAGTGTCCCCATCTTCTGATGGGTAATCCAGCAGGATAACGCACCATGTCATAAAGCATGAATCATCTAAGTCTGGTTTCTTGAACATGACAATGAGTTCACTGTACTCAAATGGCCTCCACAGTCACCAGATCTCAATCCAATAGAGCACATTTGGGTTATCGTGGAACGGGAGATTCGCGTCATGGATGTGCAGCCGACAACTCTGCAGCAACTGCGTGATGCTATCATGTCAATATAGAGCAGAATCTCTGAGGAATATTTCCCGTACCTTGTTGAATCTATGCCACAAATGATTAAGGCAGCTCTGAAGACAAAACCCCGGTGCTAGTAGGGTGTACCTAATAAAGTGGCCAGTGAGTGAGTATGTAAGGCAAAACTATTTGATATATTTACATTTCCATGTGTTGCTCAATGGAGAAAACTTTTAAAGCTAAAACCCGACTTTTGCGATAAAAGATTGGGGTAAAAAAATAACTTAAATAATGTTGCCTTATATAATATGAAATGTTAAAAAAATAGTTAAAGTCTAAAAGCTAAATGTGTTATCTTTGTTAGCAAATATGTTATATAATTAAAATGTGATGTAATAATGTAATAATTTGATGTAGATTCTTTGATAATATGTTTAGAAATCTTGAAAATATTTCTTACAATTAGGCAAATTCTAATGTTCATGAAACACTACAACAACAAAAAACTGTCATTATATTTTATATACTTTCAGTACTTTTCCTAAGACAGAATGAAATATAATTCATCCATTCATTCACAAGATTTATCACCACTCAAGCTGTTTTAACAATTAAGAGACTAACTTTAGCTCCAAGCCACCACCTTTGATCCTTGCACATAATTATACATCACTGTCCTCTTTCATGTCATACATAAAACACTCAAAGTGACTGATGTTGATGCACAAAGATTCCTGTAGTTCAACAGAGACTTAACATGGTTACACTGAGTCAAACGAGAAACATTTTAATCATGCATTTTGTAATTGATCAATATTCATACTTGCATTAAAGGGTTAAAAGTAATTTTACAAAACGAGATTGTGCAAGTTCAGGACTGCAGAACAGAAACCTGGACTTTTGCAGCAACTGACCGCTCGCCTCAGCAGTGCAACACTTGGCGGCATATTAGGATTAAAAACAGCCTAAACACATGCTGTATGATAGTTTTGCATGAAGATACAAACCTTGCTCTGTGTCTGGAAAGAGGTAGTCCGGTTCAGAGCTCTTGACGTGGCTCGCAGCCAGAAACAAAACACAATTGAACCGCAAAATCGCAACGCTGACCCGACTTGGCATGTTTCTACAACGCGAAATGAGAAGAGCAAGTAACGCTCCGACGCCGGAGAACTGGTTAAAGTCAGTCCTGAGGGGAGTTTCTGGTGAAAGCTGGAGACATCTGGGGTCAGAGAAACGGAGAAAGAAAGTGAAGGGAGAATGAGGGGAATATGATGTGGAGTGGGAGGAGAGATTGCTGTGGCTGACTGACTGACTGACTGTCCTGCTGTTTCCAGGCGCGGGAGGAGAGAAATCCTCACAGCCCAAAAACAACGAGCTGAAGGGAGGTATTACTACACGCTTAAATGTACTTTACTTCCTCTTGAAAATCAAACAGTAAAATGTGCATATCATTTCGAAAATGTCGGTGAAACTCAGAACTTGAGACGCGTAATATTATCAGTGGGTAATATTATAATGCGATTCGTTTTACGATCTGATACTGCTTAACGTCACTAATTTGCTATATAAAGTAGCCAAAATAAAGTAAAGATTTGTTTTTACGTTTTTTTTTTACAATTTAACATGTATATTGTATTTATGAAGTTCTCATAAATAAAAACATTCTGTGTGAGCCGACTTTGACCGTTGCGAAACTGCGCATGCGTCCAATGGCTTCTTAAGCTGCCAGTCAACGATCTGAAAATTTGGCGTTCAAATAAACATAACCAAAAATCATTAAAAAAATAAATAAATAATTAAATAAAAATAAAAAATATATATAAAATTACAAGGTTTCTAGTATTTAAAAAACCCTAAAATAGCCTTAAAGTCCCCATGAAATCAAATTAACTGTATTGATTTTGTTAGCACACATTGCTAGTTTTGTGGCGAACAATTCATTTGTGCATGTCTTTTAAGAAAAAAAGTTTGTTCTTGTAATCTAAAATTACGGGTGCAAAAGCAAGAGCCATTATTCTCTGTACGTTTATGGTTGAATGAAGGAATTTCAGAAACTCATAGACCGCTAAAAATTTTGGAGGGAATGTGGAGACAAAAAAAATAATGAAAAAACTACTATTTCTCATCTAGCATGCACGGACCTGCTTGGAAAACACTGGAATACATTACATCCGGTCGGCCGGTCACATACGGTCTAGTCGCAGGAGTTCAAATATTTTAACGGATCCGCAGCTCAATTCGTATCCAAATTTTTCTCATAAGGAGATGATCGGAATTCCACGCAGCTCCCGTATTACTCTCCATTGCAAATTAATGACTTTCGGTCTGTCGCTTGTTGCTTATCGTTTTTCGTGTGCAGTGGAAAGGCGGCTTAAGAAAAAGGTGTAATAACTCTCCTGAAACCCTTTTCCCAATCGTTCTGATTGAAATGCATACTTTACCACATCCAGTCAGCTTGCAGCAAAAAAAAAAAGAAACGCCCACTGTTTTATCTTCTTTTATTAACAAAAAAACTGAATTATACAGTAATATACAAAACAATACGCCAGAGTGTACATACTAAACATACAGTAATTAAAAATCTTATATCCCTGAAGAATATTATAAGTCTTCTTTGCTACTAAAGGGGTGCTCCAGAGTGTATTTTTAAGGTTTAGATGTGTTTATAAGATGCAAATGTGTGCTTATGCTTTATTTGTAGAAAATCACAGTATTTTTTTCATATACCTTACTTTAATTATATACTGCTACTCAGTTAACATGAAAGTGACAGTCATATTTCCTAGTTCCTCTGAAAGGCCTGTCCTAAAGAGGCTCTGATTGGTCAGCTAACATTTTTTATAAAATATTTTTAGGGGTTTTTCACCTTTATAATCACAGGACAGTAAAGAATTCAGACAGGAAAGCATTGGGAGCAGAGAGAGGGGAAGGATCAATAAAAGACTTCGAGCCGGGAATCGAACTTGGGTCGCCATGAGCACTTTGGTGTTATATGTCAGCATGCAGTACCACTAGGCTACTGGCGCCGACTGTCAGCTAACATAATGTTAGAGAGACACTGCAGTGCTGGTGAAGATTGTGGGTGTTTACAGCGGTTTGACAGATAAATATGAATTTGTAGCTAAATTACCAATTGTTTACATCATTTACATCCATGCTACAACATACTGTTAGCGCTAGACACTGTGCATGTCATAGACCAATTTTAACAAGATTATTTTACAGATTGTGGCTCACAATCCACAGCTTTGTCTATTATGGTTGGAGATGCTCCTTCTTTGAGGAGTTTGAAGCTGAATCCAGCACTGAACTGGGAGAGATTCTGAAAGCTGTCCTTTGTCAAATGCTAGAGCTATATATTTATTATAATTCTCTGGAACATAATTAAAATTAAACTGTAAGCACTTTTCTACTTGTGTCATGTCTATTGGAAACCCAAATACAGAAACAAAACAAGCTCTGTGGAAATTGCAGCGTTTGGACGCCATTTTAGCTTTACAGCGCCTCTGGACATTGCGCTGTGTGTATGCGTGTAACCTGAAGCATTTGTGATCTCATTAGCCCGGATGTATATTAATTTTTGCAGTACCCAAACTTCATTCGCTGAAGGCTTTGCTAAGCTAACTCTGTAAAAGCCAATGTCTCCCTTAGCATTGAACTTTAAACATCTTATATTCAGAGATGTTGTTTATGTTCACACAGCTACATTACACATCAATTAAAGTTTAAAATATGATATTGTAGTGGACCACCCCTTTAACAATGTTCTCCAGACTTGTGCAGTAGTCCTTAGTCTCTTAAAGAAAGTGAACAAAATTTAGCTTTGATCCAGTCAATTTTTTTATGTATATGAATCTTTCCCAAAATAATAAAAAGTTCTACAAGGAAGATAAATTTGTTGCATATATTGACATAATAAATGCAAAAAAAATGTGTAACTTCATTCATTCATTTTCCTTCAGCTTAGTCCCTTTATTAATCAGGGGTCACCACAGCGGAATGAACCGCCAACTTATCCAGCATATGTTTTACGCAGCGGATGCCCTTCCAGCTGCAACCCAGTACTGGGAAACACTCATCCACACTTGCATTCAAACACACACACACACATACACTACGGACAATTAAGTTAATCCAATTCATCTATAGCACATGTGTTTGGACTGTGGGGAAAACCGGAGCACCTGGAGGAAACCCACACCAACATGAGGAGAACATGCAAACTCCACACAGAAACTCCAACTGCAAAATTTTAAAAGTAACTTTTACTTAATTATCGAATTAATATATTTCATTATATTAATATATTTCATAAAGACATTGGTCCATTTTAAGTTTTTATATATAACTGTATCACCTGTTATAATATTTCTAATATATTTATTAGTATAACCTTGTTAAATAATATCAAGGTCTCCTAAAAAGGATTTTCTTTAACATATTTGCCTAAAGACCTTCTAATTTCCATACTCTCTTATAAAATGAAGAAGTTGTTAAGGTATGGCATCGAATACAATAGCATACTCCTTTGGAGTAACCGGAAAGCCATTAACTCATTCATTCATTCATTCATTCATTCATTTTCTTTTCAGCTTAGTCCCAATAATTATCCGGGGTTGCCACAGCAGAATGAACCACCAACCTCACATATGTTTACCGCAATGGATGCCCTTCCAGCTGCAACCCAGTACTCGGAAATACTCATACGCATTAATTCACACTCATACACTTTGGCTAATTTAGTCATTTAGGCTGTTTCTCAATTCCAAGAACGCAGAGAATGGAATTGTGTTCTTGTAGAGTGCGGTCTTGCCAGGTGTCCTCGGAAGAAAGAACTCAGGAGAGCGCGAGGGCAGAGAATGCGTCCTTTGAGGAATGGGATGCTGCGTTCTTCCTGATGGTCATGTGACCTTCACGCGTTTTAAATGGAAATTATTTAAACATTACAGCCTTCATACAACGATTTATTGTTTCCCCCCCTCTTCAAAATATATACTTTGCATAAAAACATTATAAATATACTCTGCACAATATAAATAAAACGAATTTTAATACGAATTTCATCAAACAAACACCCTTAATGTGTTTATTCCTTTATTAAGATGTTCATGTTAATGTTTACTTACACCGTTTCATTTAGGGAAACTCCTGAGGTAAATAAGTGATATCTCTGAACTTTAATAATAAATCTAAATAAAATGCAGCGCTTCCCACCCCCAGTCGAAATGACTTCTGGGACTTCCAGAGCGAGCTCGCTGCTGAAGTCTGCATCGGTGCGTCCTCGATATCAAGAACACATCCGGGAAGTTTCACGCGTCCTCCGTACTTGCGGTCTTGAGTATTGGAACTGAACTTAGGCAGCTGATGATGACGTTGCACGAGAACACGAGGACGCAAGACCGCTGAAGAACGCATATTGAGAAACAGCCTTAAGCTGCGTCCCAAATGGCACACTATACACTATGCACTCATGCACTATGTACTTATGCACTTACACACTCAACAGGGTAGTATATGTATGTAGTGTCGTCCCAAATGGCACACTAATGTTTTTTTTACTAAGCGGAAATTCAAACCGTTTCCCTGATGACGTTTGACGGTCGCCAAATCATTGAAGTAAACGGCCGAATTATCTAATAATACCTGCCGTGAGTATTGCCGCAATCACTATCGGGAGGCGCTATAATCACTCTCGTAAAAGAATTTTGCTTTCACCATCCAAATTAAATAAAGTTATTCAACATGTGCGTCCGATAGCTCCGCCTCTTCCGCTACGTAAGCAAACCTGCGGTCGTTGAGTGCGTGAAGTGTCCATCATTACACACTTCATTTTAGCGGCTGAATGAGTGCATCATCCGGGTGATTAAAGTGCACTTATTATTTTTAGAGTTTTCAGTGTGAACCCACTACTTACACTATTTATACTACAAAATGGCGTAGAATAGTGCATAAGTATGCGATTTGGGACGCAGCTTTAGTCTCCTTCACCAGCCACCTCTCACCACACCCGTGCACAATCACCTGAATACTAATTACATGCACCTGTACCCGCAATCACCGCACACTATATAAACTTACCTCCTCCACACTGCAAAAAATGCTTTTTCTTACTTAGATTTTTTTTGTCTTGTTTCTAGTCTACGAAATAATATGCCAAAATGAAGTGGGTTTTTCCTTAAATCAAGATAAATAATCTGCCAATGGGGTAAGCAAATTAATCTTTTCACAAATTGAAAAACAAGATTATTTTGCTTACCCCATTGGCAGATAATTTCGCTTGATTTGAGGAAAAGCATTTTGGCATATTATTTCTTAAAACAAGACTTTGTTTTGCTTGTCTAGAAAATGCTTCTTGATTTAA